ATTTATAAACTGCTTATTAATGTCGATTTATGCTTTATAAATGATTAGTGAACTGTTAACCCATGCTTAACCAACGATTAACACTAAAAAAATGCTGGGTTTTAACCCAATGTTGGGTAAAATACGGACAAACCCAGCCATTGGGTTAAAAATGTAATTGTATAATGTAACCCAATGGCTGGGTTTGTCCATTATTTTACCCAAAATTGAGTTAAAACAACCCAGCATTTTTTTAGAGTGTGCAGTTATTATAAAGTGTTACCAAATATAATTATGATCAATAACTTGCATACTTTATATTATTGATCAATATGTGAATCCGTTGACCAGGCTACACATGAGTTGTGGACTAGATTAGATTGTACTGGTCCCACTCTTGTGTCACAGACGAGACGTCTGAAGCTTTGTTTGGTTGTGCTTTTCCTTCTCTGTGGCGAATTATTAGATGTAGGAAACCAGTCGGACCACCAGATGTCACTAATGCACATTGTGTTAAAAGCTTTGAGTAATCACTTCCACATGCCAGTGTCACTGTTACTGTGAAAGACACACGACACAGTCCAACAGAAGCATCTTTTAATTAATAATCCAAACACCAAGGGAATAAGTAGAAGATAAACTACCACATAACCATCAGGACAAGGAGCGGACTGAAACTGAAGGCTGAAATACATGCGGCAAACAAACGAACTGAGGAGTTGATTAGCGAGGAGGCCGAGTAAGTCACTAGACACAGGTGACACGGGATTAAAGAATCAAACACATGGGAAAATCTGGATCAGGAAAAACAGCAATTGAACAATAACTCAGACAAGACATAACTCTTTATTCACATTGCCCTAATATCTATATCAAGGTAAACTAGGATCATGTAATGATATAATGTAAAGGTCTCAAGTAAAGACAGACAGCATCCTTTATTAAAGGTGCACCATGCAGGATTTTTGAGAAAAAACATTAAACATAGACTTGTACAAAAATAATGCCTCTAACTTATGGTCTAATGTTTCTGACTACAGAGAGATCGTCCTGTAATTCTTCTTTCGTCTTCGTCTACTGCAGTGCTCGGCACGTTTCTGGGCCCAGCCAATCACAGCGCAGGTGAGGGCGGGACTTCATCGTCCGTTTCTGAACATCTCGACACAATAACAATTCACGAACGATGCCATTAACATTAACACTTATGAAAACTTATTAGCGAGCTAGTGAAGATGGCCAAAACTTGCTTACAAATTACATCCAGTAACTATTGGCGTAAGTGTTCTTTCATTAACATTAAAAAATAAAGAAATTCATGAAACACATTATTTACAAAATATCTCATCCCACATCTTCCTGCCGGTATTCCCTTGAGTCTGTTGAGCAGCGTGTGCTGATGTCATATGGGGACAGGGGGCGTGGCTTCTAGTGGTGCTCCGCCCATGGGGAGGGGCCAAAACACAGTGTTTCCACAATAGTAGAGCACTTTTAACTATTACTACAACTATCTAACTAACTATAACTATTTAACTATTAACTACCTCGACAACACACCGCACCTCCCATGAAAATTACAATTCTGTAATGAATTACCCTAATCTCATTCTAAACCACGAATTTGTTTTTTTTTTCTGTGGAACACAAAGGGAAATGTTTTGGTGAAGATTCATGTTGTTTTCCATAAGAAACAAATTCACTACACAGATACACGAGATTCATTTCAGGGCATTTATAAGTAAATGAGGGAGAAACACATCATCAATTGTTTAAACAATTTTCACATTTATTTTACATTTAACTGCATTACATTTAAACACCATTAAAAATCTAATGTATTAACATTATCATATTGAACATTTAATCTCATCTATTAGGTACAATTCAATACAATACCGCATGAAGGAACAGGTGAACTACACATGAAGAGTGTGAAAGCAGTATCTCCGTTATCTGATGTCCATAGACCCAGGAATATTTGTTCTATTATTTTTAAGTATTATTCTATTATTTTTTTAAATTTAATAAAATAACCTGGTGTTTGTAATTTAAATGATTAGTTGGCTCAGTTAGTTTCAGATAAACTAAACTTAATACTTTCTTAGCTAGTTTAGCATTTTCACTCGTATCATTGCTTTTGTCTGTTCATTATCAGTTCATCCGGCTAGATCTTGATGTCTGCGTTATATAATCATGTCTCGGTCGTGCAGTCAATGGAACATTATGTTCTGTTTCATCACTTCCTCAAATGAATCTATCTTTAATGCATGTCACTATTAAACTTTTGCGTTTGCAACTATTTCAATGAAATGTTGCAAATTGTATTTGAATAATTTCTTCAATAATAAATACTTCAGTATTCTCTATTATTTATCAATAATAAATCACTCTTTCTGCAGAACATTAAACAAGTTCATGCCGTTTGAATCCATTTGCAAATCTCACACAAATAAACACACTCTCACTCTCTAAAACACATCTCACACTGTGGTGCAAACGTGTCATAAAACACATGCGGCTTGAGTTAAACACAGCAGCACAGGCCTCATCGTTTACATCAACAGCTCAAATGTACACACTTGTTTCTAATGATGTGACCAGACTAAAAGGGCCACGAAATCGGTCCAAATGGCGGAGTTCGATTCGTGGTGAGGGTCTCAATCGTGTTCTGTCTTTTCCAAGCAAAGTGTTTTTTAATTAAATGCAACACATTTAATCTTATGTATTAACTCGTTTCATCTGACTCCATAAAATGAAAAGGGTTTATCAGTGATATCTGTGCATCATTTAATACGTTAATGCTTGACTATTCCTTTTGACTCTAATGAAAATAAAGTCAAAGTCTGTTAGAATAGCCAAATATAACAATTTATTATGTCAGGTAAATGTATCATTAGAATTCCACAAGGTAATCAATGCAAACCATTAAATGTTTCAAAGAACAAAGAACTTTACCCAACATATTACATGAGCTGAGCCTCGACACAACGTCACGGGCCGATCTGAATACAGAAAGCAGCCCCGAACTCTAGTTGCATCTCCCTTTATAATCAGACCTCACCTGATATGTAAATCACCAGGATACAATGGAAAGTTACTGAATCCCCCTTCCATGTTTATCGGGGCAGACCATTTGCTTGGTTGTAATTTGCATTCAGACAACAAGGCAGAAGGTGTCAACTCAAAGACACACCCTTCTGTCTTCAAGATATTTCTATATTCTTAAAACCTTATTATCTTTTCTTTTATTTCTTTGGGAATGAGACATTATTACCAGTCACCCTGAGACTTTCAAAAGGATATCAAACACTCCTAAAAGATTATCACATTCACATTCACATTAAAATTCTTGAGTGAGTTTTTCAGTGTTATTGACTGAGAGAGGAAGTTCAGAGGGAGGGGGTAGGGTGTCAAATGTGAATTTTGCAAGCAATGCCATTTGTCTTCAGAGGGGATTGGTCAGATATTTTCTTTTTAACCAGTTTTCCAGTTTTACACTGCACATAATATAAACCAGATCTCCGAGAGATGCACTGGATGATGAGGTGAACTCCCGAGAGGAAGAGGAGGAGTGTGGAAAACTCTGGCTGCGTTCCAGTCCACTTTTAGACAGGCACTTCCAACTTCCCAAAGCACTTCCCCCGGGGGAATCCCTGCCGCCATTACCAAGTGCGTTCCACTACTGGACGAGGGAGTTTATATGGACAGACCCTCGCTCCCTCGACTTTGACCGAATACTATTGAATGTCTGTATATTCAACAGTTGCATGCTGTAAAATACAGTAGTCCAACTGCAAAAGCCCAAATGGACAAAGAAAGCCCAAAACTCAAAAACTCAGTCCTGCAGAGTTCAGATCCAACCCTGATCAAACTCACCAGAACCAGCTCATCTAAGTCTTCAGGCCAGGGTTAAAGTGGGCGGAATGGTCACCACAGATAAATTCATTGATGTTAACGAATCTCGCTGGTCCCGATATGGGCTGACCAACCGAAAAAATCATATTTCAAGTCATATTTCAATGTCGTTGGAAAACAAAACGACTTAGCCCAAAAAGTATTGTTGTCCCACGGTGGGTCATTTTTTGCTGTTGAACCAACACAGAATTTTAGGGTTCCCCCACCTGCCAAATCCCACTTTCACTTTTTTAAGAGATCTTGAACTCTTTTGCAGTTGGACAGATGAATATCGTAGCCTTCAGGTTTTGAGCAAGCGGGTGTGTTCCAGAACAATTACTAAATTATTCTGTCCAATCAAATGCTCTCTAGAATATAAAGCTCCGCCCACTGTGCTATAAACACCACCTGACCGAAGTGACCGGTGACGCATCGCGGAGCAATATGGGTAAGAGTGTGTGTTCGTTCGCTCAAACTCTCGAGTTTTATTCCGTCTTCCAACTGTTCGTTGGTTAAGAATGAAACGAATGAATCCTCTACTATTGAGTCCAGCGTTTCATCAGCGCTTCCATGGTGCCGTCAGTCTGTGAGGTAAACTAAACACTATTGGCTGTTAGAGAAGGGGGAGGAGTCATTGCATGTTTCAGTGGAGGTTACGCCAACGCATCAAACACAGCTGCTCGTTCCACGGCACTTCAGTGGGACTTTGATGTTGTGAGAAAATGGGTGAAGGTTTTAAGAAATGTGTCTTAGCAATTGTAAAAAGGGAAGATTTAGGCTATGTTTACACGGAAACGATTCTGAAGAGAAAACGCGAAAGTGGCGTTGTGTTATTACTTTTTATTCTGCGTTTAGACGAGCATTTTGGGTGGGAGCATCATCCGCGTGCAGATGGTGACGCAAAAGTGTATGAAATTCAATGAGGTATGCACTCCAGGCGGCTAGGAGTGCATACTACAACACCACCAAGCCCGCGCGCCTGCGTACAACCTTCACTGTCAAGCAGAGTTTTGCGTTTTTACCGTTTACACGGGAACGCGGCGGTGGAGCGTTTTTAAGATTTCCACTCTGGAAGGTGGCTTCACTTTTTTGCGTTTTTAAGCCCCAAAAACACAGTCGCCGTGTAAACGAAAGGCACATCCGATAAAATATTTTTACGTTTTCACCTGCGAGCGTTCTCGTGTAAACAGGGCCTTAGTCATGATGTGAAAAAAATACTGAGTAGTTGTTGCATCCCTACACTAAATGCCCCTATTTGAGCAGAACGGCCGGTTGTCGGCCGGTTGGACTCATTCCCTGTAGGAGCTGGTGCTCTCCGTGCTCATGAGCCGGCCCCGGAGCACCGAGCTGCCCTGACTCGCCAGCTGCTGCTTGAACTCCGTGGTCAGGAAGTAGTAGATGAGCGGGTTGAGGCAGCAGTTCAGGCTCGCCATGCACAGAGAGATCGGGTGAAACTGTTTGATGGCCCGACTCACCTCACAGTTTGTTATGATGCACTGGGTGACCATCAGATAAAACAGGAAGTTGATGTGGTAGGGGGCGAAGCAGAAGAGGAAGACTCCTGTGCACACCCTGACCATGCGCAAGGCCTTCCTCGTGTTACCGGTGGACTGTTCCTTCTGGATCCGCTTTCGCAAAGAGTTCACTATCAAGCAAGTACAGAAGATGATGACGACTAATGGACCGATAAACCCAAAGAGTTCAGCAGCGGCCATCATGGAGATGGCTAAGCGGAAGTCCAGCTTTTGCATCGGGAGATCTTTGAAGCATTCAGTTCCGTTTCCACTAGTTTTCCTCATTAAAATGAAGGGTGAACAGCCGAGTCCCACCACCATCCACACCGCCAGGCTGATGCACACGTCGTAGCGGGACTTCCATTGCTTGGCCTGGAACGGGCGCATGAGGAAAGCACAGCGCTGGATGCTGATGCACACCAGGAACGCGATGCTGGCGTACATGTTCAGGTACTTCAGGTAAAAGCACAGCAGACACAACACACTGCCGAAAGGCCATTGTCCCTGGATGTAGTAGTGAATCCGGAGCGGCAGCGACAGCACGTGAGCCAGGTCGGCGATGGTCAGGTTGATCATGAAGATGATGGCCTTCGTCTTTTTGCTGTAAATCGAAGAGAATCCGTGGCATTAGAAACACAAGCAACTCTAAACTGACCTCAGGAAACACAGCTGAGAAAAAGGACTATCACAATTACATTGAACTGACCAGGAAGGTCTTTCTTAATGGTGAAATTTCTCATATAAAGCAGGAGTTGACTTCAGAATTAAAATTTCCTGATAGTTTACTCTCCCCACGTCATCCAAGATGTCCACGTCTTATGAAGGTTTTTGAGGAACACACTCCAGGATGTTTCTCCATATAGTGTCTTCAATGGGGTCCAACGGGTCGAAGGTCAGATGTGAGTTTCAGCTTCAAAGTCTCGACACGATCCAGCCGAGGAATAAGAGTCTGATCGAGACAAACCAGCGATTTACAACAAAATACACATTTAAAAACTTCTTGCACTAGCTGTGATGACATCACATCACATTACGTAGAAAGGTCACGCAGGACGCAGGCAGAAACTCCCATCTAACTTTCTCTTCCAACCGACATCGTTGTTTTACCTTTTATTTTGTAAAGGGCTTTTGATTTAGTCTTTGCACGTGTGCTTTGTAAACACTGGATCGGTACTTTCGCCCACTTATCACGCGACCTTTCAACATGATTACCGAACCCGATCTCACGGCCTTTCGTACGTATTTAACGAGGTGGCTAATTCACACGACTTCACTCGTACGTTTTTTGCTAAATCGTACATATTTTACGATTTGACTGATTCGTACGAATTACCTTCCCCTGGCTCCTGCACGTATCCATCACTGGAGTTTAGTAACGTGTCCCAGCAAACAAATTTAGGTTCTGGGAACGTTAGTTTTTGGTTCCCAGAACGTTCCTAGAACTTTCCCTTAAGGTTAAGGGAACGTTCCCGGAACATTCTCCCTACGTTATAAAAATGGAACCTAAAAATAACCTACATGGAACGTTCCTATAACGTTCTTGTTTGGTTCCCAAAAAAATAACCTCATGGGACCATTCGGGAACGTTAGGGGAACGTTCTGTGCCTTGGCGTTGGATTACGTAATGTGTGGATTATCTCAGTTAGTGCAAGATTTGTGGTTAAATGTATATAAATGTGTGTTTTGTTGTAAATGTCGCTGGTTTGTCTGGATCAGACTCTTATTCCTCGGCTGGATCGTGTCGAGACTTTGAAGCTGAAACTCACATCTGGACCGTCAACCCGTTGGACCCCATTGACGACACTAATGCTGGAAAGTAGGATATTTTCCACTTGTGAACTGGTATTTACCAGTGTGTTTTGCGTTCAAGTGCTTTTGTTGTCGTAATGTGGTGAAAAGATGGAGATCCAGACCTGTTATTTAGCTAAAACTATTTTAGATTGCTTAAGTCATCTGCAACAGCAAGAAAATGATTTATCAAAACTCAAAAGGTAAATAATATGCTATATTTTCTAGATCATGAATACATGGTATATATTTTTACCATTCACGACTCTTGCGGTGCTCTCCGCCATTTTGAAAAGTTCAAAGGTTATCTCATCTCGGCAACTCGTGCATCAAAATATTCTACGAGTTGCCCAGTAGAAAATACCACACGAGGGGGTGTTCATGTGCATTTTCCACGTCGGCTTTTGGTATTTACCATAATTACCATAGCACATGAACGCAGCGTAAATGGAGAAACCCTGGAGTGTGTTCCTCAAAAACCTTCATTTCTGTTCCACTGAAGAAAGACGTGAACATCTTGGATGACGTGCGGGTGAGTAAAGTATCAGAACATTTTATTTCTGAAGTCAACTAATCCTTTAACATATCTAAAAGTTTTTATATTACCAGCATTAAAATGGTCCCAGAAGGCTGTCATCATGCTAAATAGCTAATTACTAAAGCAGCTTGGTTCTCCACAGACGCACACTGTACGATCATAGCGGTCCTTTACGACTGTCCGCCCGGACGGCAGTCGAGACTCGTCCATGGTTTCGTCATCAGTTAATGACATTCCCAGATAGCAAACTGACATTGAATCAACGTGGAAATATGACATCGAAACAACGTTGATCTGACATTGTTTTGCTCATCGAATTAACGTTGAACCAACGTCAGACGCGTCATTCTTTCAAAACTAACGGAAAATCAACTTGAAATCAACGCGTTGTTTCAACGTTATGAAAGCAAACCAATTTTCGATTTCATTTAGCTTTGAAGAATGCCGCGTCTGACGTTGGTTCAACGTTAATTTGATGAGCAAATCAATGTTGTTTCAATGTCATGAGAGACGTCGTTTCCACGTTGATTCAATGTCAGTTTGCTGTCTGGGTTTACTGTGAATGTGCTTCACATCCCGGTTAGAAATGGTGGATTTCAAACAACAACCACGTCTAGCCTTAATTTTGATCATGGCTGTTGTTGAAAAGAGAACTGGATAAAAACGAAAATGTGTGGGAACAAGTGGTGTTGTTGTTGTCTCACTATTGCATCATCAGTTTCTGTGCCGCGATTAGATTTAGATCGGGTCGTCACTCAAAGCCTCGGACACGGATCTCATCAGAGGCCAGATTCGATTGCAATGGTCAGTAATCGGCCAACATTTCAAACTAGCGATCAGAGAGTTGTGCAGGTGGATCAAAGCAGTCTTTCAGCATTCAGAAGATTTGTCTCAGGCGGCCAAAATAGTGCAGTGTGCATCCGGCTTTATGAAGGTATTAATAAGTCAAAGCGCTGACCTTATGAACCGACACAGCACCCACAGGGCCAGGGTGTTGCTCAGCAGGCCCGGGATGAAGATGATCAGGTAGAAGTAGGTGTAGAGTTTGTTCATGGCCGTGTCCCACTCAGACGTGTAAATTGAACATGAGTTCAGACACGTCACGTTCATGGATGTCATGGTCAAACTTTGATTTCATTTATTATAGACAGCAGAGAATCACTGTGGAAAAAGGAATTTAAACAACTTTGACACTTCTTTCAATTCATTTTACTGAGTAATTGCTGATATGGTATATAGATATGGTACAAATATACTTTTCAAGCAAAAGCTTAAGCAAAATGATTGACAAACGCCAGTGGATGAACCACAGCAGATGCACTTTTGATACTTTGATATTTTATAGTGGCTTTCTAGACTGACTCAATACAGGCTACTTTATGTGCAATTAAATGATAACGTTCGTATAAGGTTTCACAAAGTCACCTCCCTTCCTGTACAAGCCTGAAGGAAGTGTTTGTGTGACGAACACGAGTCTGTCCTCTTTGTGTGCTCATCTTTTGATACTTTTATTGTTTCCAATTAATGGATCTTCCAGCCTTGAATTTGGACTTGATAGTAATTTCAAGATTTCTTTGTATAACATTTTGTTCATTAGAATCAGTATTATTAAAGCTGTGTTAAACTGAGAGCACATGTTGAGCAAATAGAGGAACTCGGGTTCAACAAGTATGCAAATCTGCTGATTTATTCTTCTCTTCAGTTAGTCGTTTTATTTCTTGTTGGCACAAGAGTGTGTGTGTGTGTGTGTGTGTAGTTTCGGCTGCCACAGCGAAGAGCAAACGTCATGAATATCCATGATTTAGAAAAACCACGGGGAAATAAACTTAGTGAAAAACAATTCATCAGACAATGCAACTACGAAAATAGCAACAACAAAAGCAACTACCATAATCATAAATAAATATTTACAATTCACATTTAACTGAAAATGAACACTGCAGTAAATATTGTTCTGTTCGTTTAATCCAGGTCTGTTCGAGGTACATATAAAGTAAGAGTTAATCAACAGAAGTTGTGCGCTGCAGTTTTTCTTACCTGTCAGAATGAGCTGCGGTGTGTGTGTGTGTGTGTGTTTGGTGCTTTCCAGCACATCATGCAGATCATGCAGAGAGAGGAAGTCTTTAAAGACGTGTGTCCTATATTCGTCACGTTACTGTACAGATTCACCGCTAGTGAAGGCAAGCTGTGACGCGTCTCTGGAAAGTGAAACTGTTTGCTGATGTTTGTTGATTCAGTTGCAGGCCGTTAGTTATAAACGTACAGAAACCCACAGAACACACACAGCACTTCTGGTCTAACCGTCAGACGTCAGAAGTGCACACAAAACATGACATGAGGACTGATGTGTTTTTGTCTGTTGGTTATCCAAAGCAGTTTACTGTGAGTTTTCTAGGAATAAAATCTCTAACCCATGTTGGTTTCATAGCTATAGGAACACGATTGGTTACACATTTGGATAACACTTTACAATAACAGATTAGAAGATTAGTCACTAGACACTGGTTATTTGATACATTTATGTACTTATTTCAATTATGGATGTGCAACATAAACATGAAACGCAATTTTTTGAAACTACATACACATACTGTGATAAAGTTTGCTACGTACAAGTTAAATTACATTTATGCGAGGGACCTGTGGCGTCATGTTTACTTGTCATACAGATGCTTCTGTGGCAAATGTGAGAAGATGTCTAGAAAATATATGCAGTTTTTAATAAAATATCTTTAAATATATATATATATATATATATATTTATAAACGTGTGGTTAGACACTATACAAAGAAGGTTTAAATTATATACACAGACATCCTATGACGACAACAACTCTCTCACTCTCTCAGCCCTTCTGCTTACCGACTGCCATAGGTATCAAGTTACGCCCTCATCCAAAGGCAGGGCGGGGATATGCAGCTCATTTGCATTTAAGGTGGTATAGCCCAAAACAGCTCATTTTTAAGCAGGCCCCAAAATGACATTTTCAAATGGTTATAATAAATGAACTGTGGGATATTTTGAGCTGAAACTTCACAAATACATTCTGGGGACACCCGAGACCAATATTACATCTTGTAGAAAGGTGCATAATAGGTGCCCTTTAAAGCACCCTTTTCTCAAGTGCGCATCAGATCTTATTTTGCTGTGGGATATTACCCAGAATCCTTGTAGTGTTGTGATGCTTTGAAGAGCTAACCAATGGGAGAGAACAGTTGCTGTTCGGGAGCGGAAACTCTGAAGATAAAGGAAGCCGGTGTGGTGAAGTGGTTTTCAAGGCTGCGAAATGTAAAAATATTTGTGTTATTGAGTCATGAAATATAGTTTTTAAAGTTTTTCAGTCTAGAATATAGCTGTTTAAAGCTCAAATCTGTGGTTTATTTTTAAAGATAGCGTCTATTTATAAAACTGATCTGGCAATTTCTGAGTTCCAGCGATCAGCACTCATGTTCAGCCTTACCTCGGCTAGTCATCCTGGCGTTCCCCGCGGGCTCTGTGTCTAGTGTTAATCATGAGCTATAAATCGGCTTGTGTACCGTATATCTAACGGGCGATCTTTGGTCTCATTAATCTATGATTTGTTCTCTGGCAAATCGTTTTGGCTGAGGGGAAAAGTGAAGTTTCCTAACTTTATATATTTAGGCTATTTTACTGTAACGTTAGCCTTTTGACTTATGTTTGACTAAATCTTTTAACTTGCCTTATTTCTTGACTTATAGCTTCTTATACTTTTTAGGCTACTTTAATAATGGCTATTATTGATCAATAAAACTGAAATTTAACAAAAAGAGACAGGGTTGTGTCATTTTATTTCATATAGCCTATGTAAGACTCTTTTACTATATATAATCTATATATAATATATCACCAACACGTCATGTATTTTTTCATGTATGGGATGGGAACAATTTCATATAACAATTTCCAAAATAACAATTAAAATTGCATTTCGAACCGCTGTGAATACGGTAAGGCAGTATAAGCTCAGGTCAACCTCAATCACAATTAATCTTAGTTTTAATATTAATAGCATTAACAGAAAGTTTGGTGGCTAAGAGTAAAAAAAGATTAGTTTTTTTAAAGGTTTGTGCCATGTTCCAGCTATTATAAGCAGCACACTCATTAGCCAAATAACCAGTGTTTGCGGATCACAACAGAAGTGACGTGTGTAAAACTGTCCCAGTTCTGCTCTTCAGCTTCAGCCCTTGCACACTTACTCCGCCAAGTGCACTTCCAACAAGTGTACACTTCGAGGAAGGCCTTAGGGTGTAGGATATTGGGACAGGCCATCAGTCCATGTCACCATCAGGTGTATCCAATATACTTGATTGAATCTAGAAGCATATAAAACATGCACACAGTTTGCTGCTCTATAAGTGAGTACTAATGAGATCATGGCTTCTGTGTGAACTGATTATTTTGTGCACGTCTTTTGAAAATGAAACAATTACGTGAGTTTGAGGAAGATAAAATAAATTAAAATTAACTTTTTTTAATATGTTTTTTAAAAAGTCAGATTTGTGCTAATATATATATATACTTTTTTGTTTAAAAGAAAAAAAAAACATAATTATGAGAAGTGTCTTTCCCCTGAGCCCCGGCCCCTCTGTGCACGCCCCTGGATACAAGAGATTTATATTTCATATTTCATAATGTATGAAGTGATGCTGACTCCGGATCAGCCGGCCACCAGAGGGAGCCCTCCCCCGAGCACCGATCATGCACTTCCTGTTTGCCACATGTGTGACACACACACACACACACACACTTGCGGTCTTGCACTTGACCATGTTTCTGCTTGCGTGACGCATTTCCTCTACGTGTGTTATATTCTATTTAGACATAGAGATATAATTTAGATAAACTCTAGATCACAAGTGTGTGTAGAGCTTTTGATTACTCGATGGGACACACTCATGCAAGTGTTTACAGAGCTTTTATTTATTATATTTTCAACACTTTCTGCATTTTAAAACAAACTTCTCCGTGTGTGTTCAGTAGTCGCTCTGTAACTAACACAACACACACATTTAACATTGTGTTGCTTCTGATTAAGTGATATAAAACAGGCCTACACACACCATACTCATAGAATGTGCAACCCTTTATGTTCTTACAGCCAAATGATATGCATCCAATTAATTTAAATTACAATGGATTGTTTTCGTCGACATCTCGTGTTTTCGGGACACATCACACGAGTTCCCCAACGATTCCTCAAATATAAACCGGTGTTCAGATATACCGGGGGAAATGAGTGTGTGTAATGTCCTGAATGCCTTTCGCTGAAGAGATGTTCACCTGTCCACTTCATGCGGGATCTGTGATCTGATCGGGAAAAGCGCATCCGAAACAGATCTGAGACGAGATCCAGACCAACCGCACAAGTGGAAATGCATCTGATTGTTGAAACCACGCATCTCCCAAAAACTCTAAAAATATAAGTGTGAGAGCGTGTTATAGGCTGTGCTAACAGGGAACGTTCCCAGAACATTCACTAACGTTCTTTAAAAGTTGTGTAAATGTTAGGACAAAACGTTATTAAAATATTGTTTTCGGAACGTTCATATAACGTTATTAACGTTCTTGTAACGTTGAGAGAAAACGTTCTTAGAACAACGTTCTTGGAACGTCTTTATCACGTTATTTGTATTTGATGAACGTTCTCGTTACGTTGATAAAAAACGTTCTTAGAACAACGTTATCGGAACGTCTTTATCAGGTTATTTGTGTTTGATAAACGTTCTCATAACGTTCCAGCAACATTATACTAACCTTAGGATAACGTTCGAACAACATTATGCTAACGTTCCAGCAACGTTCTGCAAACATTAAGACACCGTTCCAGCAACGTTAAGCAAACTGGACATTTCCACGTTTTTAGAACATTTTAAATTAACGTTCCCACAACCAAAATGGAACGTTAGAAAAACGTTCTCAGAACCTAACTTTGTTAGCTGGGGTAGTGTTATAGCAAGATGACTACGCTACTGCAACACGGCAGCTGAGCATCATAAACCCGACGTGCAAACTACAGACAATTGTCCTCGTCATTAAAAGTGAAGAAACTGATTGATCTCACCAGCGCTGTTGCCGCTCTGCATTATTGCCGTCATTTTTTTAATGATCCATCAAACGCAGCTCATTTCTGTGACTGAACTCCATCTGCATATAGCGCGGGGATTGAATCCGCTTTAGGAAAGCGTGTGCCCTGCTGCCCGGGGACACTAACGGCTCCATTCGGCAGGGCTAAAGACATGGTGGCCCAAGCAGGCCCTGATGTAGAGTCGTGCCTGATGTGGGGTTCAAGCTCCAGTATTTTCCAGCTTTGAAATTATACTCCATCAAAAACAACAAGAAGGTGAGCTGGAATTACAAAGACTTCTGGGAGCTCATGATGTGCCTGAGGAGCCGTCTGTCGAGGTTTGAGAAACGGGCCTCAGCTTCATGCGCAACAGCTTGGCATGCCGTGGGTGAAGGAGGCGATGCTCAGGCTGCCAACATCACTATAAGACAATGATCTTGTGAAGGTGATGACATGTGTAAGCTCCATTGGGCTCCTTTAAAACGGAGATTGCATTAGTTTTGATAAGCTGAGAGCCCTTCTCGCAGAGCTCCCTCTCGCTCAGATCATTACCGGTGCTGTCACGTTTCCTACTACTGAGGGTGTGTGGCATGAAGCTTTGGGCTGCGTGTGATCCTGAGCCTGTCGAAGAGCTGTGTCCTGAGGTCGGCAGTGACGCTGAGGTGGAGAATGTTGGAAAGATCATCCACGTTGTCCCCTGCCGACTGCTCCCTCTGCTGGTCCAGCATGGAACTGGCCTTTGTATATGAGGCTGAGTGCCAGTCGAGGAGCGTTCCTGTGCGCACATTTACGGCGTTTTGTTTGAAACGCTATGCTGAAATAAATGTGTTAGGGGTGTGTTTTTTCTATAGGTTAGGCTTAGTGTTAGTAATTAGAATAGGATTTGTTAGTAATTAGTATTAATTTATAGTTGTTAGGGTTAGAGGTTGGTGGTGGGTTAGGGTGATTTATTTTTATATATGTTAGGGTTAGGTTTGTTGTGTGTAGTATTTGTTTTATATAAGTTAGGATTAGGTGTGTTATTTGTTGGATTTTTGTAAAAAAAAAACCACACACAAAAGAAATAACAGTAACCCAGCCTCTGACATAACACAAACCAACCTGAGCCAGACCAAGTTCACAAGCTTGCACTACATCTCACTTATAACTCTATTATGAGGATGACCTCTTAATCCCTATATTTTTACCGTACCAATTAAAAGGGTTTTCTCAGACCTTTCCAATGAGCCTACTCTCGTGTGTCTGAGATGTACTAGTCGTGAGATATTGACCATCTAAATATAAACCGGGAGTTGGTGTATCTCCTCATTCGAAGATCACATTGAATCATGGGAGGTGTTAATAGAAAGGTATTCGTGAGGCCTTTAACATGACAACATCCTTACGTAGTTTTGAGCTTAGGGGGCAGAGCAATGGGACCAAATATATTTGTCCATCAAAAAATGATCTCGGTCTAGGAAAGTGGAAACTGCTTGTAGGTCTCGGCGAGTGCTTTCACGGACACCTTGATTGTGTCGCTGCGACCATCCTAGGCCGAGATACAATTTTTGATACATGATTATAGGTACCATTGGAAAGGGTTTTCTCAGACCTTTCCAAAGAGTCTGCTCTGATGTCTCTGTGATGTTGGAGTCATGAGATATTGGCACTCTAAATTAAACCGGAAGTGACCCTACAGGATAAACTAGGTATCATCCGAAAGGGTCTGTTCCCACCTATCAAATGAGCCTCGTCCCATGTCTGTGGTATGACTGGTTCATGAGATATTGGTTCATGAGATATAAGTGTGAACTGGAAGTGGACATATATCCTAAAGAGAAGATAAAAAAATAAATAAATAAATAAATAAATAAAATGTACTTTTTTTTTTAGCTTTTAGTAAGAATATGTTAGACTTAAGGTATTGAAAAGGCTTTCAAAACAAAGACAAAATTCACATTTAGGTGATAAGCATAAAACGTACAGACTCAGGGATGTTTATGACGTCACCGCAGACTTCTGCTTCATCACATCTTCGGTCCAATCCTCTATAAAATATCCGTGCTATAAACACCACCTCTAATCCGCTTCCATGCTGCCGTCATGGACACTCTTAGAAAAAAGGGTTCTATAATCTACTCCAAAGGACATTTTATGCAAAAAATGTTCTATAATGACAAGAAAGAACACTTTTGACACAAAGGTTCTTTATAGGCTGTTATTCCTTCATATATTACATTATTCTGCAACATTTGTAGTTGTTATTAAATTATTGTTTATTAAACTGTTGTAGTAACTTAATATCACATTTTAATCATGCTGATTTCTGGAGGATAAAAACTGAAATGGCACTCTTCGTGTGATATTGATTAACTAAATTTTTTAACCCCCATATCTTGAATTTTGTGAGCATTCACATTGCATTTTAGGGGTTCCAAATACGCAGCGCTTTAGAACCTTTTAAGGTTCTATATAGAACATTTTCTTCTAAGAGTGTATAGGGATGGAGAAATGACGCCTCTTAACTCATTGAAGCTTTTCTCTGATTGTTTCGGGTAAAGATTGTTGAAAACAGCGCCATCTTGTGGCGGGTAAAGTTTACAGCAGGCATGAGTCGAGCGCAGATCCACTGTTTTATCCATTCAGCACTAATAAAAGCCTGACAATGCTAAATGTTCAGTTGTCTGATATATAATTCACATTTTGAAGTGTGGCAATAAATTAAAGGTAACAATGATTATAATAATAGAATAATACCAACAGTTGTTTGATGCAAGTAGATGGTGCTCTAATTATATTGGTTTTTATACTGTTTATATAGTAGAGGTTAGGGTTAGGCTTAGTATTTAATAATTTTTCAGAAACATGCTCAACCAAACGGTTGATTTGGCTCATAAGAGTTAACGGTCACCCCCTTTGTGAGAATGGACATTACAATACACTATAGTTGTAATTCAAGTATGCTTTGGAATAAAGACCTAAGTTTAGTCTTGGTTTAAAGAAAACACTCAGCAGATTATTGCTGAAGTAAAAGCACTTCAAAACATAAAGTATGAAAAGTTATGGAAGTTTTAAATTTACATTAAATCAAATATACTGTACTTAATATTTTTTTTCTTTTATATAAAATATATATTTTACAAAATATTTTTTACTATAAAATTAAAGCCATATATCAAACCAAGTTGTGTTCCAAATTTGAAGTTTATATCACAAAAATTCTCATGAGATTTTGTTTAGGCGTAATATCAAAAATGACATAAATTCCATTGAATTTAATTGTATGCATTCCACTGTAACAAATTAATAAATTTCTGTCCAAATATCACTTACAAAGACTTGAGACTTAGATCTTTCTAACAATGTGTTTTGTCAAGATTAGAAAAGGTTTTGATCATAAATTATGATGGACAATGAAAAAGTATGGCAAAGTATGTGTAAAAAAAACAATTTTTTTTTACCATTAAGTGACATCTCAACCATTTGGTAGAGGCCGATATTTAAAAAAAAAAAATGGAATGTGTTAAAGAAAAATGCACTGAGTGTGGTTAATGGATGTAGGTCAGTATCACTAATATACATTAATCCCAGGATAAAAATGATTTTTCCCCTAAATGTAAATATTAATTTTAGCCATTCAGCATTACAGTGAACTTGAAAGCTATACATTTTTTAAGGCTTCAAAAACTATAACAACTTTTAACTTATGTGAACTTCAAACAATCCTCACAAAAATCCATATGAAATGTCATATTTACCTGTGCCCGTCTAACATATACGGAACAATAAACCGAAATAGAATAAAGTTATCAAACAGTCTGCATTGCAGTCCTGTCTTTTGTCTTGTCGGCGCTTGAATGGTTTAAAAGCACGTGCATGAATAAGAGCGGGATCATATCATGTAAAGCGACACAGACAAATAATTGGATGCTGCGTTAATTGCGTTAAATATTTGATCGTGTAAACTGGACTAAAATGAATGGCATGCGCTAACGCGACAATGTTGACAGCCTAGTTGGAATAAATACAAATATAAAAGAAATGTTGGGATTAATGTAAAAATAAAGTAACATGGAAATAGATAAATGCATGAATAAATAGCCTAAATAAACATGTAGGCCTAAATAAATAGCCTACACATAAAAATAAATTCGAAAATATAAATCAAAGTTAAAAAGGAAATAATACATGAAAAGTCAAAAATAAAAATGAAGCAATAATTAAAATTAATTGTATTTTTTCTTATCAAAACATTACCATGTGTGGTTATTGATTAATTGTGACTTATATTGGCTATGTGTAGTTTTGGTACTTTATAGCACAGCTCTCTCCTCAGCAGACTCTCCACGCGCGCTCACTGCGACAGGCGCGTTCCCGCGGACCGAACACCCCCGCCCCCCGCGCGCACGACGGGTTAGTCCAGTCGTGTCCGGTCGCTGGTCTGGGTTCTGCCTGAGGAGACTCGACGGACAGCTTCATGTAAGTTTTAGTTTATTTTTTAAAGACGCTGTAAGTTCCAGTAAGTTCTGTGTTTGTTATCTTTCTTTAACACACGAGATTCCCTGAAGAAACGCGTCACAGGTCAGTGAATACACACGGTCAGATCTGTGGTGTTAACAACTCACTAAATCAAATCATGGTGTCAAACAGCTTTACATAGATGTATATTTTACTGTCTCATAGCTTTACAAATAATTTGCTTTAATAGAAAATAGATTTTGGATATATTTGGATATAATTTAGGGCAATCAACAAAGCAATGCAGTCCTCCACTGCATTACAGTAGTAATTTTGAATGCTATGATTACATTGTGATGTTGATGTTTGGCAGAGATTCAAACGGTGCTCACACACAACGCATTCTCACCCCAAGGCGTCACCTTTGACCATGCTTCAATATTTGACGTTTTAGGCGCCCTTTAGCGTCACTTACATGACGCGATCCTACAGCGTCATCTAACTGACGCTAAAGGAAAGCGTCTGTTAGAGGACGCGGTTAGGTTTAGGTGTGGGGTGGGGGTAGGGTACACGCGATCCTAGGGCGTCATCTTACTGACGCTAAAGGGCGCCTACAGCGTCAGATATTGAAGCATGTCCAAATGCTTCCCAAGAATGGGCTGTCACACAAAGGTCGTCAGAAATAAATCATATGAGCAGATTTTGTGATATATTTTACTGTAAGCTTTTGCTTTCTGTAATGAATTTGTTTTAACCACAAAAATGTATTTACCAAAATAAAATTTATTTTGCAACAGTAACATTAGTAAACAAACAAATAAGTATGCTAAATTAAAGGTATAGTCTACTTATCACTAAACATGTGGTGTAGAATGACCACAAGTAAAAATGTACAAATTTCTTTAAAAAAAAAAAGTCTTTCTCTCGCTCACTGTATGACGTCATTGTGTCTGTATTTCTAATAACTCAGTCTCATGGTATATCACACTTCATACAACACAAAAACACCAACCGTATGTACGGCTGTCAGATTATGGCTAAATGATAATCACAATTATTCTGATCAATATTGAGATCCCGATTAGTTATCACGATTATTTTTTGATTTTAAACAAAACAAATGTTATTGTCACATAGGTGAATTATACCTGCGTAACTCTGAGCGGCGCATGATGAGGAGGAGAGATTTCACTCAATTAGAAAAATGAGTCAATGAATTACGCGAACGAATCATTCAAAAACAACGATTCGACATCACTAATAGATTGGCTTTGCAAAAAATCTAAACTTTTATACGGAGCGGTCTATGAATGTAATGACGCATTTTAAATATCTTTGACCGTGGGAAGCCAGAATCCTGATCGTGATTAAACTCGATTAACTGTGCAGCCTTAACCGTATGTTCCCTCACTCATGCTTTAAATGGTTATTGTTACTACAGCAAACCACAATAAGAGAGCCGTCGTGGCCTAATGGTTAGAGTGAGGTTGCAGGTTCGAGTCCCCGATCGCTCCCGAATGCTGTCCTCCGCTCCGGCGCCCCGTCATGATCCTGTGGGACAGTAGGCTACTTGAGTGTTTGTTTGGAGAATCCGTGCTTTACTTGAGTTTTTATATTTTATATTTCCTGAACAAAATGTATACTTTTACTCCGATACATTTCCCCAAAGCATATTCGTTACTTACTTCAAAATAAATTGTGAAGAACACAGGCAAGCAAGTGCTCGCACGACCCCGGTGGATTTCATTGGACGGTTGCGCGACCGTGTCTGGATCCCCCAAGAGGAGTGCGCTGCATCACAGCACAACAGCGCCCTCTAGAGGACAAAAACTGTCAGCTCATGCTGTTTGTTTTGACACGACCCAAACACTTACAACCTAACGGTATGATAGACAGTGTACACTACAGTACATGTTTTTAAATCATTATAAGTATTAGTTTGTTGACTTTGTGCTGCATTATTGGACGACAGCAGTGTGTTTGCTGTGTCAGAATGCTAACTTTAGTAGCCTTCAAGCGATTAAAACTATGTTACAAAATACGTATCTGACCCAAAATTTTAAGGTCACGATTGTTACCGATTGTAACAAAGTTAAAACTGAACACAACCTTGCTGCTCAAACTGTGTATAGAACCCTTTTTAATAACTCTTTTTACATTGTCTTGTACTTCTACTTTCTGTGTTGAAATGTTTTTATTTGGTAGTACTTTTACTGTCAATACTTTCAGTATGTTTAATATAAAAAAATACATTTCATACTTGAGGACAATAAAAATCAAATACTTTAAAACTTTAACTCAAGTAATATTCTTTTCTGATTTCATTTTCTGGTAAGATATCTGCACTTTTACTCAAAGGTGGCTTTCAGGCACGCTACGCCTGCTAACGCGTGCGCACTAGCTGGCATGGGTTGAATGCAGAGGACTCTGGGTTACCCTACTTGGCCTTCGCACGTCAGTTTTCCAGTCATGCGGAAAAGGCTGGGGAGCACAGTTTTGCTTTGCATTTCGAATGGTGGAGATCATAACTGAGGTATACTTAAGCAAGGAACAACTAAAGGACAGGCAATCAGACAGTAACCATAGCACTATGGATATAACAAAAAAAGGAAACTGTAATTTAACAAAACATAGGGTGAACAAATAGGTTTTGGGCAGCTGTGATTCTGAATCCCACTGAGAGAAGAGAGTTTGAACTTAGCTAAGACAAGCGAGTCAGAAGTTGATCTAAGAGTGCGGGCAGCAACATATGCATGTATAATTCTGCTAGATATAAGGCTGCTAAACCATTGTAGAGCTTAAAAACTGACAAGTATTTTGAACTGAATGTGAAAGATAATAGGGAGCTGGCACAGGCAGCTGAATGTTGTACTAGTTGCAAAACGATTAAGGGCTTTAGTGGGTCGGCCACAGAACAATGGGTTACAAGAGTCCAGCGAGAGGTTATGAAAGCAGCATCTTGAAGACTGAGCAAAGGTCACACACGGACTATATTGCTAACAAGATTTAACAAGCTGGCTGATATGCGGTTTAAAGCATTATTTAGGATCAAATAGTGACCCCAGATTCCATACAGTGGGTGAAGGACTAACTAAGACTATCTCAGTATTGACACAATGCCAAGGGATGGTTAGCGACTAACCAGATTTCAATTTAACAGTTTTCAGCCATGCTTTAAAATCTTTCAGTCCAGGCAGTGATGAATAGGGTGGAAACACAGAAATGGGCTGGGCAGAAAGATTTATCAACACTGTAACTATAAAAATGAAGACCAGAAGAAATAATTAATTGAATTAGAAATCAAAGTGGACCAAGAAGCGATCCTTGAGGTACACCAATGAAAACAGTGTTTGTGTTGATTAACCCTTTCACACTGACAAACCCATCTGAACACACTGACAAAATTGTATTCATATTTTTTATAGCACTTTAATTTGTGATTGTGTAAAGGTGTTCATGAGATACCAACTCGCTTTCAACGAACACTCGTTTTCATGGAGATGCGGTGTGCGAAATGTGCAGTTAGTGGTGTGAGTTTGGGAAGCACGGCTCTAACTTATTTTCTCACTGTCGTCCTCCATGCAGGAAACCACAGATTTGCCTATCGGTCTGTGCCTTAACCAGACAAAGGTAGCTGACTGTACTTTCAAAAACAAGATGTGATCATCTGACCAAGCTTTGTGGAGCTGCGATGATGAGATGATGGGAAGGACGGCTCGTGCAGAGCTCTCGCTGACTGTTGGGAATTAACTGGAAACAGAAGACCCGCTTCCCCTGCATGTGCCATAATGGCCAGTCTTGTCCTTAATGAGACTGGGATGGACAATTGTGGCATCGATGACTCCTTCAAGTACAACCTGTACGGTGTGGTGTACAGTGTGGCGTTTGTTCTGGGACTGGTCACTAACTGCGCTTCGCTGTTTGTCTTCTGCTGCCGCATGAAATTGCGTAACGAGACCACGCTTTTCATGACCAATCTCGCTTTATCAGACTTAGTGTTTGTGTTCACTCTTCCTTTCAAAATCTTTTACAACGTGAATCGCCACTGGCCTTTTGGGGACACAGTGTGCAAGATCTCCGGGGGAGCCTTCATCACCAATATCTACGGCAGTATGCTGTTCCTCACATGCATCAGTGTGGATCGATTCCTGGCCATTGTTTACCCCTTCCGCTCACAGTCCATTCGGACCCGCCGCAATGCTGGGATCGTGTGTGGGATCATCTGGTTGTTGATCCTGGGCGGAGGCATGTCAGTCCACTTCTTCTCTTCCACCAACAAGTCCAAAGCAAGCACCACTTGCTTTGAGGGATTCTCCAAGAAAACGTGGAAGACACACCTGTCCAAGATCACCATCGTCATCGAAGTGGTGGGTTTCCTCATCCCACTGATGATCAATCTCGCCTGCTCTTCCATGGTGCTCAGGACCCTGCGCAGACCCGCTACTCTGTGTCAGATCGGAACCAACAAGAGGCGCGTTCTGCGTATGATCGTAGTGCATTTGGCCATTTTTATTGTTTGCTTTGTGCCTTACAATTCTGTTCTGTTCATCTACGCCATGGTGCGCACTCAGGCGCTCGTGAGCTGCTGGGTGGAGAAGCTCGCACGGACACTGTACCCCATCACGCTCTGCGTTGCCACCTTCAACTGCTGCTTTGACCCGGTGGTCTACTACTTTACCTCGGAGTCCTTTCAGAAATCACTGACTACCGGGAAGTGCCAGGCCACGCAGGAGAACACGCTGAGGAGTGATTGCCTTGTGTCCACTGTGGAGAATACCGGCACGGTTGAGCTCCACACACTGACCAGCAATGGAAAAGATCAGGGCTGCGTTTCCTAAAGGCATCTATCATCGTCAGTTCTCTATTGGCTTTGGGAAACACACCCCAGGTCACTGAGACTCAGGTCTGAAGTCGGAAGAGCTATGGATGCCTTGTCTCAGGATGTAGTACTGAAGAAAATTCTCCAACGAAACCCAAACATGGGACATCTAGGCTTCTGACATCTCTGTGATTGTTTCCTGTCCTGTAGTTAGTTCACACAGGTGTACCACTGTATCACTGTATTTGATCAATGAGTGTTACCACACCATTTGCATTTTTATTGTGCTCTATTGCATTTTTACTCAGTCAAAGCACCTTCTGAAAGTGTTCAAATCAGTGTTATTGATGTGTGTGAATGTGGAAAGTTTGTGTAAATTGTTCTCTCTCAATCTGCAAAATTTGGTTTTCCTTTTACTGAATAAATAAATCAAATAAATAATGGTAAGCAGTTAAATAATAAATCTCATACTCTTAAGTTATGCAGTTAGGTGTGTCTTTAGTCTAGACTTAAAATGACAGTGTGTGTGAATCCTGAATGATGGTAAGAAGGCTGTTCCAGAATTTAGGGAAATAATCTCCCGCGGAGGATTTTCATAGTTGTGGTAAAGATATTAGCAGAATTAATACACTCTTGGAAAAGTGGTAAGATTAATTGCATCTTCGAGGGTTAGATCACCAAAAAGTCTGTCATTAATCACATTTATATAGCTCTTTTCTGGGTACTCAAAGTGCTTTACAGTGGAGCACTTCTCCTGCTAGCACCTGTCCTCTGTAATTCTCGGCCTCTTGAACTCAGGGAAGCCCAGTCTTACGCCATTTTTGAAGGTCAACTTAAGACATACTTTTTTAAACTTGCATTTGCCTGTTGATGTGTTTTCTTGTGTACAGCGCTTTGAGAAGATGCTTTTAAAGGCACTTTATAAAATAAAGGTTATTATTATAACATGTGTTCACTGTCACTATATCTCAGCCTAACTGAGTGTCTGGGTTCACGTTTGTGACCTCAGATTGACAAAAATCATTAATGATTCAGACTGAACATCATTTTTAAGCATTGTTATGTCTGATAAGTAGATAAACTGCTGGACACACATGTTTCCTCAGCTTAGAGCAGTGGCCGCGTGAGGTTTGTCCATCAGAAGGACTTGCTCAACAGCTTGTGGGAAATCCGACACTGGGTCTTGTGTGAAGACTGGGGAAATCCACTCGCTCGACCAAATGCTGATTACGACTCCAGCAATGGGCCCATTGTGTCCGACTGAAGCAGGCTAGTTTCCTGGCCGCCAAAGCCGCCTTAATTCTCTTAAATATGTTGTTGCACGGCCCGTTTGGCACGCAACCTTCATCAGATTATGGGAAAGCCCTCTAAATCATTCTCAAGGGGGTTTATTCCCCTTTCTTTAATATGCCCATTTTCATCATTCATTTCCATTTAGTAATCTTATAATAATCTGTATCCTGTTGTATACCTTTTGATTTTCTCTTTCCAATAAATTACCCAATTTATTATAAGGTGCAAGCAATATCATAATCACAATGAGCTTTAAAGGGCACTGTGTAGGAATTTCTCCCATCTAGCGATGAAATTGTATTTTGCATTCAAACGAATTGTGCTCTCCAGCGCCTCGCATCTACGGTAGCCATTATGTACCAAAAAGCTGTCTTCTAATAGCACTTCGAACAGGTTTGTTGTTTCACACAAACAGCAACCTGACACAGCGAACAAAAAAATTATGAAAAACAAATACAAATATTTATTTTAAATAATAAAATGCATAAAAAAGTACACATTGTCCCTTTAATGCTACATAAGTGCATAATTTCCTCGAGGTCACGACATCCTTCTGTTGTGGGAATGTGAAGTCGTGGCCTTGAGATGTTGAGGTAACGACATGTTTCCTTATGACCACGAGTTTATGCATAAACAAGCCTGCGTGACCATAGCAACCTGGGTTATCACAAATTTTAATAATTCAAAATGAATATTCATTTATTAATAAAGAAATACAAAAAAACGTGCAGAATTAAGAAATTACACCAAAGGAGAACAAATGCACAACCAATATTATTTGAATCATAGAGTAATATAAATAAAAGATCTTTTACACCACCTGGTGGACGTACTGACAAAATACATTTACATCTCACAGATGTAAATCATCAAATTATCTTAAAGTACAATCACAATTGTTAATAAGCATATATATATATATATATATATATATATATTTATTAAAAAATAGGACATTTTGGGGGGAAAGAAGTGCTGCATTTTATCATTTAATAGTCCAAGATAGCCTTACTCTGCAGCCTTGCTGGAGGAGAGGTCCTGTCCATATCCACCTTCTCAAAGACGTGGTGAAACGCCTTCAAGAAGTTAAACAACACCCTGATCAGGGCTTCGTTCTAATCTGCCTGTAAAATAAATAAATAAAATACTTCCTAATAATACCTCTTTAAAAAAACACTCCTTTTTTTCTTCAAAATAATTTCTTTCAATCATTTTTATTGTAACTCAAAGACGAACCAATATCAATATCAATATCAATTTTATTTGTATAGCACACTTAAAACAATCAAGGCTGACCAAGGTGCTTCACAGATATAAAATACAACAAGGCACACAGTAAAACTACAACAATAGAACATTATAATAGACAGTGTATGATATATAATGAAATTAAATTAAAAAATTTACCAGGAAAGATGACAAACTTAACTGGGAGGAAATGCCAGAGAAAAGAAATGTGTTTTTAACAGTGATTTAAAGCGTTCAAGAGTTGGGGCAGTTCTGATCTGGAGTGGCAGGTTGTTCCACAAGTTTGGGGCAGCTACACTGAAGGCTCTATCGCCTCTGGTTTTAAGTCTGCTTCTGGGCACATCCAGAAGGAGGAGATTGGTGGATCTCAGCACTCTAGTTGGAGTGTGAACATGGAGAAGCTCTGTTAAATACAATGGAGCCAATCCATTTAGGCATTTAAAAGTTAAAAGTAAGATTTTAAAATCAATCCTGTAATGAACAGGAAGCCAGTGGAGGGAGCGCAACACAGGTGTAATGTGGTCTCTCTTCTTTTTTCCTGTTAGGAGGCGGGCAGCAGCATTTTGTACCAACTGTAGGCGCTGAATAGAGGTCTTGTCTAAGCCCACATATAAGGAGTTGCAGTAGTCAAGGCGAGACGTTACAAAGGCATTAATCACCCTCTCTAAATCTTTAGGCGGGAGATAAGCCTTTACCTTGGCTATAGTTCTCAACTGGAAGAAGCAGGATCTAGCAGTGGTGGATATATGTTTATCAAGTTTAAATTCACTATCAAATATAACACCAAGACTCCTCACAGTTGAGCGGTTATTTGTAGATAGAGGGCCGAGAGAATCTACATCAAACAGTTCAGGATGTCCGAACACTATAACCTCTGTCTTGTCTCCGTTTAGGTTGAGGAAATGTAAGTTCATCCACGTTTTGATATCCTTCATACAGTCAAGCCTGTCCGGCCTGTCTGGGCCTGACATCTCCGTGAGGGCCGGTCTGGGCCCGTATTCGTTACCCTATCCCGCCCCTTCCCCAACTTTGTAAGCCGAGGAAGGGGCCGGAGGGAGTTCTTTGTCACATCCACCTAGGGAAATATATATCCCACTCCGAAACACTTTTAATTTATAAATCTTTTATTCTTAGGTCTTTACTGAGCCAAGTCCAGACCACATCCGAAGATTTCTGTCAGATAAACCTGGCCTGGCATCGCATCCCCACACAGTCCTCTGCATATCTAGAGCGGATCTAGATTGATCGTTTCCTTTTCATTAAAAAGGATGACCTGACAATATTGGGTTAAAAGAAGCCATAGCCTCCAATTTCCAGTATTTGGATAAACCCTGGTATGTCTTTACAGAGCCAAAGACCCAAAAATTGATGCCACACAATAGAATCCTCAACCAAATTTATTTATCTTAAATCACTGTAAGGCCTTTAGGGAACCATGTGCCCAGCCTCTTGATCCAGTGCCTTTCTTTTCTCAATCTGTCCCTCTTGGTCCATTCCAGGTGATGATCCAGCCTGAATATCTTCAGATTCTCCGTTCCATTCCTCCGGATATGAGGAGCTACATGTGTCTTCCGAAGGGTCCCCTTATTCACCGTATGCCTATAGGCCACACCCTGGTGAGTATTGAATTCTTAGTCTCCCCAACGTACCTCTTCCCACACAAGGCGCATCTAATGAGGTAGACACAATATTTTCAGTGAAGAGGAATGGCCAGGGTTACTCTGTGCACTGTCCTGTCCCGTCCTCTCACAAAGGTGCCCCGAATTTTCCTAGGAGTCCTGCTGTTGGTTGGACCCAGCCTGCTATATACCAGGATATCCCTTAGGATCTTCCATGTTTTATTGGCCATCTGTTGCCCAGTACCTCTTTCTGTGACAGTTCCTCACAGTTCCTCCTTAGCCTCGCTGTTAAGACCTTGGCTGTATTTGAGAACCTTAAAACCACCGTAAGTATCCTCTTTTGGGGTACCACAACTGTCCCCCCACTCATCTCTTTCTCCTCCCTTGCCACTTTCCTGAGAAAAGACCATGTGTAACCCCTCAGGATTTTGGCAGCTTCAACCCTGTCAACCTCCCTCGTACAAATCCTCCTGAACCTGAGGAGCTGGGCCTTGACAACCTCCCTGAAAACATGTCGATCATGGTGTAATAGAGCATGGGTGTCCGTAGGCTTTAAGAAAACTTTGGCATCTAATCTCCCGGTTTGTAGGAATTTTGGTCCTTTGTAGACAGTGGTGTCCAAGAAGTCAATCCCATCCAGTCTCAACTCCCATTTTATCCGAATGGAAGGATGATGCGAATTTAAAACTTGAATGAACTCCAACCAGTCCTCCTCCATACCATCCCACACTCCCCATTGATCATCCAAATACCGGAATTATTGGGCGGGCAATGATTTGCACTTGGAAAAGACTGACTCCTCCCAGTCTGCAATATAAATATTGGCGTAGGCTGTTAAAAAAAATAAGGTCCAACACAACTTCTGAGTGTGCTCCTTGGATGT